AGCATGCTATTGAAGTGGTTTCAAAGACATACCTGCAAGTATCACTCCAGAAGCTGTTGAGGAGTTGTTGGTGAAGTACAAGCTGAAAGTCCGCCAAGTCACGCCGTTCCTGGAGAGTCATTGTTTCCACGTGTGGTGCACCCGGTATCTGGAGCTAACACAGGGGTTATCAAGGGGCTGGTGATACCGCATCCGGAAGATAAGAAAAGGCGTTTCATTCATCAAGTCAACCGCCCGCTGGAGCACGGCAAGAAGCTCCTGGTCTCACTATCCTATGCTTTCCTGCCCGGCTCTGTGGGGGTTCGCATTATGACAAATATCATGATGCCTTCACCACTGACCGACAACCTAACATAGGGAAGTGGAAACCTGAGCTAGGCCATGTGCATGGGATCAACCGGTAACAGTGAATCAGCTCGTGTACACAGGTCAGCTTGCATTACCCTGTCATCTCAGCCACTAACCCTCTGGCCCGCGTGTCGCAGCTGCTTCTCTGACTGCGTCGCGCCTGGTGCGACCGATCCTGCTCGATCCGGCTATAGTTCTGATTCCACCGGGAGCGCCAGGGAGCAATGGATCTGTACTCAGACTTGTTGCGGGAAAGCACACGTGATGCTGTTTGTTGCCCGCTGCAGAGCACATAATGCCTGCGCGTCATCTGTACGGTCAGGGAGAGTTGGGGTGCGGTTACCCGTCTAACAAGGGAAAAGGAGAGAACCTGCACTCGGTCAGTCCGAAGGAGTATGGGTTTAATAGAACCGGATCAGCTTGCAATAGCTGATATTGGTTGGAGAGTGTGGTTGTCGCTGTGTTCTGTCTCACCTGCCTGTGGATGCGTAGAGGCGATCAAGGAGTTATTAAATGAATACACGGAATACTCTGTCATTTGCGGGCCTGAATGTTAACGGCCTGGGAGATTTCACGAAGCGGAAACGTACAACGGCATGGATTAACAGCAGAAAAGGAGCAGATGTAATGGTTTTGTCAGATACCCGAATAGCAGATGATCACCACTTACTGGCCTTCTCTTAACCTCACCTCTTTCGCCGCTTGCCTCGTCTGTGACCCGTGCTGGAGGAGTTGCAGTTCTCAGCCGCACGAACGGACCTCTCCTTTTCACAACCCTTTGGCTCACCCCTTCGGGAAGACTTGTTAAGGTGGAAGTCCACTGCTCGAATCTTCGTCTTACCTTAATAGCAACTTATCTCCCTGCAGGACAAAGCAAAAATAGAGCCTTTATCAGATTAGGACTTGGTCCAGTCTTAAGCCATAATCAGCCAGGCGCTCACCTGCTCATCTTAGGAGGACCTCAACACCATTGAAAACCCACTGCTTGATGTCAGAATGTTATAATTGTCTAGCCTGCAGTGGGTACTCAATAGTGAGTACAGCCCAAATTAGGGTTTGCTATATGTACTCAACTGCTTGCTAGTGAAAACCCTCTTCTTCATTCCTCATTCTTCACACTTGATAAGACCTCTAGACATGGATCGACAAGAGAGAATGATTTTTCTCTACCACCACTGCAAAGGCTTTGACATCTCAAATGCTTTACGCTTCCTTCACCCGACCGTGAACGAGAATTTCCATTTTTCTCGCAAGGCACATCAGGAGAGCTCATGGATTGATCGAGCCCTGGTCTCTCAATCCCCTGCTCCCCGCCGCCCTCGGTTGTCGGCTGCACACATCTCGCCGGATGAACGGTCTCAGATCATGGTTTTGCCATCCGCGTAGTCTTCAAACTCAAGTCGCAGCTGAAGCTGGGGCCAGGGATTTGGCGTCTTCACCCTTCTCTGCTAGGGAGACCAGGGCTAAGAGGAAAATCGAGGAGGTGGAGCGGTTGGTCACGCAGAATGGAGGGGGTTCTACGTCTCTCATTCTCTTGCCTGAGCATCAGTCTGCGATTGTATGCAAAGGAGGAGAGTAAGAGGATAAGGGCAACCAGTACCATCTTACTACAGCGGTGGCCGCATTGCGACAACAGGTCATGCAGAACCCGAAGGATCAATTTCTGAAAGAGCGGCCTGAGGAAACGGGAGCAACAACTTAAAGAGTACTTTGCATGCCGTCGATACAGGATGCACACAATGGCTGGGATGGAGCTGGCGCTGTCAGGGGAAGTCCCCTCACCGCATCTGTCGGCACGTATAAAGACGCGGAAAGTCAAAACTCAGATAGCGGAGGTAGCGGTACCGGGAGGTGTGGTATCGGAACCGAAGCGAATCTTGGAAGCGGCGGCGGATTTTTTCCGTAACCTCTTTGGGAAGATAGCGGACGATGATTTCAGACTGGAGTCCAGCGGCTGGGAAGAAGCTGATGTACTCTGATGTGGAGAGTCTACAGGAAGATTGGATGGAGAAAGAAGTTAGACAAGCGTTGAAGGAAATGGCGTGTAACAAGACGCCAGGGAAAGATGGCTTACCGAAGGAGGTGTTTGAGATGCACTGGGACACGCTCGAGAAACACGTCATGGGGCTGGTTCGAGACTTCACCCTCTCCTCTACACTCCCGACCAGCGTGAAGGACGCGGTGACGATCCTCCTGCACAAGAAAATAGCGAAAGAACAGTTGGATAACTAGATAACTATCGCCCCATCACACTTTTGAACACCAGCTACAAAGTGCTGGCACGGGTCTTAGCGAGCAGAATCAAGAATGTTCTTCACAGGGTGATCTCACCGGAACAGTTCGGCTTTATCCCGGGAGACGAATGTTAGACGCGGTGGGGCTGGTCGCTGATATCATCAATGCAGCCAAGAATGGGGGGAGTGGGAGCGAAGAATCCAGAAGCGATGCTTACCTGCTTAACGGCCAGGAGGATTGGGCTGATACTCATGGAGACGGACCAGTTAAAGCGAGAACGGATGCGTCAAGCATCTGACCTGCCAAGGGGATTGGAGACATTCATGGCGCATGAGAAGCTGTTGAAAACATGGGAGGGGAAAAGCCAGCGTTGGAAGCTGGCAAGCGCGAATTTCATGCGGTCTCCGTTAGCGGTAACCACGGAGGAACGCGAGGTTAAGGAGCTGCTGCTGGAGAGGATCACTTTTAACAGACATATCCTCTTGAAAGGAACCACGCCAGTGGGGGGACAGAAAGCGGCGAAAGGGCTTCTGGGCGTCAGGCTTGGCGACCTTGTCGGGAGAGATGCAGAAGGAAAAGGGGTGCCGAAAAGCCTTGAAACCCTAGAGATGGAGCTGCGGGGGAAGGACTCAGCGAACCTTGCGCTCAAGGCTTTTGCGGCAGCGCCAGAGTCATGGAAGAAGCGGCTCATCTCGGCTGAACTTCCGAACATGAGCTTTGCGGACGAGTATGAGGTGGGAAGAGGCGGCCCTCTACAGCTCCGGACGAAGTTGTTGGCGGAAGGGAAAGCAATCCCGCTGCGATCGCTCCGGAAACACTGGAAGCACGGCAACAGCGGAAAGAAAAAGAGGGAGAAATGGGCAAGTCGGTGGGGTGGCAACATTGATTGGAAAAGGGCAGTTCAGATTCGCGAATCACTGGCTACCCCAAGTCGACCGAGGGATGTTCTACTGCGAATACACTGTCTCAATCTGCAAGTGGGGGAGAGACTAAAATTTCTCAGCAGCAAACCAGTCTGCCCTCACTGCGGGGACTTTGAGACACTGGAACATTGTCTCTTGGAGTGTCCGAAAATTCAGGGGGTGGTTTCGGCGGTTAAAAAAGCCTTAAATCCAGGGTCTCATGTAGAGTGTTTGGGGTCAACTGCAAAGCACTTGACGGGAGTGGTTACTTTGTGACTCAAAACGAAAAGGGTGTTTTGTTGGAAGTACAGAAACCTACCTTGCGACAAACAAAACACACCAAGCGACTGACGCACAAACCTACTGGTCGCAAGCACACCCCTCCACTCTCAGGGTGCATTCCTACCTCGTGTCAGACACGAAGTGGAGGTTTGGATGGAGGTTCGGAAGACCCGAAGTGGCCCACTTCGGGTCTTCCGAACATTGGTTTGCTAGAGTTCCAGCTCACTTCGGGTCTTCCTCAACTTCACTTCGTGTCTGACCTCATGTCAGACACGAGCCAAGAATGCACCCTCACTCACAATTGCATCAGCAAAACAAGCAGGGCCTTACATGAGACTACGACTACGACTTCAGCCTAAGCAATCACGCCGCCTCCCACGAGATTAGCACAGTCGGGCAAGCTCAAACAATACCAACGACCTTCCCGACGCGCAGGCGTTTGGTTCCGTGCCACGCGCGATAAACACATTTGGATTCGTCCATTCCGAGGCAAGCAAGCAACAATGCGAGACGAGAGGCGCCGTAGGCGCAATGCACACCGGGCAGCCCGCAGACGTCCTATGAACGAAAAACCCGCAGCCCACGAGGGCTACGTGCAGGTACGCTGCGACACGTTGAGCATTGGGAGCACATCCTTTAGTCGGAGGTACACCAGAGGCAAGCCCCGCCCCAGACGGAGTCCGCGACCAGCATCCTGCACATTGGCATGAGCGTACGTCATTGCCACGGAAGGAGTTCCCATATAGCGCGAAGCATGCACAGCGTGAAAAATAGCTAAAAATATAAAACAGATAGCGAGGGTGCCGTGCAAAAAGGTCTAGGCAAGTACATCTCGGACACTAGTAGCCTCACAACGGGAATCAATGCACGCATTTGCCAACGCGGCGCGCAAATCATTTCAGCGCGGAGTGAGAAAATCATTGCGACGCACATACCAAGACACCGCTAAGGGAGAATGAAAAGGTGCCGCGCATATGGGGGCAGCGCGGCGCATGTCAGGGCAGCGCCGCGCAAATGACGGCAGCGCCGCGCATATGACCCTTTTCCGCGCAGTTGAGGGCAGCGCCGCGCAGTTGAGGGCAGCGCCGCGCAGTTGAGAGCAGCGCCGCGCAGTTGAGGGCAGCGCCGCGCAGTTGAGGGCAGCCCTGCGCATATCAGGCCAGCGCGGCGCTTATCAGGCCAGAGCCAGTGCACACGGACAGGGATATCATTTGACCCATGCGCCGTGCAGGAATGGCCATCGATAGCTGTGACATGGACTGGCCGTCACACGTCGCAGCGGATACTATCCGTAACGTTGCGCCGCTCACATTCCCTTAGCCTCAGTTTCCACAAATTCGCCTGATGGGCAATCTCACATACAGATACAACGCACACTCACACTCACCAACCCAGCACTCTCACGTACCCCAACCCTAAAGTCTCGCGTTCCCCTCTTTCCCATGCGCAAATTCGTCGCTACTCGCACAAACACATTCCCCACCCTGCATGGTCAAATCCCATTACCCTACCCTCACACATTCCCCTACCAAGCACTCTTACAATCCCCTACCCTCATTCTCACATTCCCCTACCCATCACTCCCAAAAGTACCCCCTACCCTTCAGTCCCACATTCCCCTACCCTTCACTCCCACATTCCCATACCCTTCACTCCCACATCCCCCTGCCCTTCACTCCCACATTCCCCTACCCTTCAGTCCACAATCCCCTACCCACCAGTCCCACATTCCCCTACCCTTCACTCCCACATCCCCCACAAGCCACTACCACATTCCCCTACCCTTCAGTCCCACATTCCCCTACCCTTCACTCCCACATTCCCCTACCCTGCACTCCCACATCCCCCTACCCTTCACTCCCACATTACCCTACCCTTCACTCCCATTCCCCTACCATTCACTCCCACATTCCCCTACCCTTCACTCCCACATCCCCCACAAGCCACTACCACATTCCCCTACCCTTCACTCCCACATTCCCCTACCCTTCACTCCCACATTCCCCTACCCTTCACTCCCACATTCCCCTACCATTCACTCCCACATTCCCCTACCATTCACTCCCACATTCCCCTACCCTTCACTCCCACATCCCCCTACCCTGCACTCCCCCATTCCCCTACCCTTCACTCCCACATTCCCCTACCCTTCACTCCCACATTCCCCTACCCTTCACTCCCACATTCCCCTACCCTTCACTCCCACATTCCCCTATCATTCACTCCCACATTCCCCTACCCTTCACTCCCACATCCCCCTACGCTGCACTCCCCCATTCCCCTACCCTTCACTCCCACATTCCCCTACCCTTCACTCCCACATTCCCCCACCCTTCACTCCCACATTCCCCTACCCTTCACTCCCACATTCCCCTACCCTTCACTCCCACATTCCCCTACCCTTCACTCCCACATCCCCCTACCCTGCACTCCCCCATTCCCCTACCCTTCACTCCCACATTCCCCTACCCTTCACTCCCACATTCCCCCACCCTTCACTCCCACATTCCCCTACCCTTCACTCCCACATTCCCCTACCCTTCACTCCCACATTCCCCTACCCTTCACTCCCACATTCCCCTACCATTCACTCCCACATTCCCACCCTTCCCCTACCCTTCACTCCACATTCCCCTACCATTCACTCCCACATTCCCCTACCCTTCACTCCCACATCCCCCTACCTTGCACTCCCCCATTCCCCTACCCTTCACTCCCACGTTCCCCTACCCTTCACACCCACATTCCCCTACCCTTCACTCCCACATTCCCCTACCATTCACTCCCACATTCCCCTACCCTTCACTCCCACATTCCCCTACCATTCACTCCCACATTCCCCTACCCTTCACTCCCACATCCCCCTACCCTGCACTCCCCCATTCCCCTACCCTTCACTCCCACATTCCCCTACCCTTCACTCCCACATTCCCCTACCCTTCACTCCCACATTCCCCTACCCTTCACTCCCACATTCCCCTACCCTTCACTCCCACATTCCCCTACCATTCACTCCCCCATTCCCCTACCCTTCACTCCCACATTCCCCTACTCTTCACTCCCACATTCCCCCACCCTTCACTCCCACATTCCCCTACCCTTCACTCCCACATTCCCCTACCCTTCACTCCCACATTCCCCTACCATTCACTCCACATTCCCCTACCATTCACTCCCACATTCCCCTACCCTTCACTCCCACATTCCCCTACCATTCACTCCCACATTCCCCTACCCTTCAGTCCCACATCCCCCTACCCTGCACTCCCCCATTCCCCTACCCTTCACTCCCACATTCCCCTACCCTTCACACCCACATTCCCCTACCCTTCACTCCCACATTCCCCTACAATTCACTCCCACATTCCCCTACCCTTCACTCCCACATTCCACATTCCAGAATCTGTAATAGGAGGCGTGTGTCCCATGTGTGTTTTCGTCGGGGCGCCGCACAACCAGTCGTGGATCCACGGGAGGCATAATACGAGCGCCACGGAAATGTGGCGCTCCGAGTGTTGGTTGATGCGTGCGGCATATCACTATTAGCGCTAAAAGTGTGGTGGTTTGCGGCGTCACATCTTACATCGATATTGCTCTAGACTGGTCGTCCTCGCCCGGCTTCTCTCACGGTCTAGCGGGTGTTATGATTAGGGCCGCTGCTGGTGTAAAGGTGTGTGTTTGAAGTCTCTTGCACCTTTGTGCAAAACAGTTGACACTGCACTGGGATGGGCCTGCGACTTTGTTTCTGTCGTACTGGTTAGTTTCGCACACCCTGTATCGTCGGGTTTGGGTTCGCGAAGCAGTGTTGGATTGTGTTGCGAAAAGAGGGTGCTTGGCGAGTTTCGTTTAGCCGCAGTATTGGTTGGGTGATTCGTAAGCCAACCAGCAATGACCCTTTTCCATCGACTGCAAAGCACTTGGTCTACTTGAGACCCTGGCTTTAAGGATGATCAACCCGGGCAGGAAAAGTGACACGCTTGGCGATTGGCTGTTTGGCCAGGCGGGGTCCCAGTCAGAAAAAAAAAGATGTGAAAGTGTCCCTGTTTTTTTTTTTTCCTGAGGCTTCGTTGGTGGCGATTGCCCTTCATCAGCTATGGGCGGAAAGATGTGAAGGGGCTTTCAGAGGCTGCAAATTCCGCACGCGGAGAGTTCTACGGAGGATTGAGTCGGCCCTCCGCCGCATGTGAACGTTTATGTGCCCTGCCTCGGCAATAAGCAGCTGCAGAAGGTGGGAGGTTCACATGCCAAGTGGCAAAAAATAACGTGACCTTCTGAATCGCATCAGAGTAGTGGATGGCAAAGGATGGAAGTGGTCCAACAGTTTCGCGGCAATATGGGGCAAACCTCGCAGGCCCCGGATCCATTTCTGAGGATCGAACATTCTGAGGCGGGACTTCCTGTCTCTCATGCACAGTTACGACTGTTTATGGCGTTGTACACTTGTGTTCTGATGTCATATAAGTAAAAAAAAAAAAAAAAAAAAAAAAAATGGTGAGGAACAGCAGGGGGAAGAAGGTCTCAAAGCCTTGGTGAGGGTGACTCCTGTAGTAACTGATTGACTCGTCGAATGTGACGTCATGGGAACTGAAGAACTGGCAGATTACCAGGTCGTACAACTGACAGCCGAAGGTGTCGAGTGGGAAGCCAAGAAAGACGCAGACATGGGTGCGTGGAGACAACTTGTTTGCCAGGGAACCCCAGACGTGGTAGTCAGCCACTAAACCCGGAGAACATATCCAAAGGGAGACAGGCGTTATCCTTAGCTGTGAGTCACAAAACCACAGGTTCAGCTGGTGCGCGCCGTAGCGGACTGACTGAGGCCACAGGAAATAGGGGGCACTGGCATGGCACATGGAGGTTTGGGCAACCTCCATGACCAGGCCGATGGGTCGCTCGGCTACCCCGTTCTGCTGTGGCGAGTCTAGTAGCGTGTAAGATTGGATGATCCCCCGACCCTAACAGAACGTCTCCAGGCGAGTAGAAGAGAACTCACCACCACGGTCCGAGTGCAGGCAGAGCCCACAAAGGGCCTAGGCGTCACCCCTCGCTAGTAGCCACGGCTCGAGGGCGGTAGGCACGTCGGCCTTCTGTTACAAAGGTAAAACCGTGGTGTAGTGGGAGTAATCGTCCACCACAATCAGTAAGTTTCGCTCCTAACCTGGGCCACGGACCGGGGAGGGGCCTTAGACGTCCAAGTGCAGGGTCTGGAAGGGAGCCGTTGTGGGGGAGAACGACGAGGAGTGAGGGGCAGTGCACTGTCAACCCTCGACGAAAGGAGTGCATGGCGGCGCAGGCGAGCGAGGAAGCAGGGCAAGCGACTCTAGGAGGCTTGTGACCATGTTGACTGGAATAGGTTGTTGGCCCCGCCCTCGCTTGGGCAACGCTGACTTCCTGGTCGGACGCGCGGGTGGTGCGGCCGACCGTTTTCGGGGTTCAAGGTGTGCTGGTCGACGGGGCTGTCCATATACAGGTGACTGCTGCAATGCAGCCGTCGATGGGAGTCGGCGGTCTAGTTCGAATAAGGAGGTCGACGGAGCAGTCCGTCGAGTTGCAGGTGACGTGCGGGCAACTGTCAAGGACTGGAGCTCAATGGCTGCAGCTAATCGTGCTGGTTGACGGGACTGTCTACCCGGGTAGTTCGACAGGGAGGTCAACGGAGCAGCCCGTCGACCTCCGTAGGACATGTGAGCGCTAGTTGACGAGGGGAGCTCAGCGACAGCAGCTGGCAGTGCTGGTCGACGGCGGGGTTCGTCGACCAAGGTGCTGTACCGACCTCCGTCCCTGGTCGACGACGCCGGTCGCCAAGAAGAGCGAAGTCCTGCGGGTATTCGAGAAGTGGCTGCTGTTGGTGGAGTGCCAGACGAAGAAGTCGGTGCTGATGCGTCGCTCTGACCGGAGAGGGGAGTTCCTCGGGAAGGAGTTCAACACCTTCGTCGACGGGAAGGGCATCGTTCACGACCTTACATGCCCCTACACTCCGCAGCAGAACGGCATGGCAGAGCGGCAGAAGCGGATAGTAGTCGAGTCGATGCAGACGATGCTGTTGCACATGGGCGTGCAGCACCATTGGTGGCACCTTGCTCTACGACAAGCTTTTGGGTGCGCAATTGCTTGGAGTGGTCGACAACGCCGCCGGGGACGACACCGTACCAGTACCAGCTGCTGACCGGGAAGAACCCTGACCTCACGCTGGCGCGGGTGTGGGGCTGCATGGTGCAGTTCATGGTCCCCAAATAGCAGCGCAATGGGAAGTTGGCGCCAAAAGCTCGCTGGGGTATCCACCTCGGTGTGTCGCCGAAGAGCAAGGGCTGGGAGGTGCTGGACTTAAACGACAAGGTGATCACGTCGGTCGAGGTAATCTTCTAGGAGACGCTATCGCTGGAGGTGTGGAAGGAAAAGTATGGGCCGGTGTCGGGGCGGACGCAGGCGCACCCGCCGACGAACACCCCGACGGCGACGTTCCACTGCTCGCTCGCCGAGGTTGACGAGCCTGCTGATGAGGACGTTGAGGAGTCCTCCCTCCACCCCCTGTTCTTACTTCTCCCACCCGCATCGCAGATCGTCCTACATCGACACCGATGTCGGCCGCCGGCGATGAGGGGAGCCTTGGGGCGTTGCCTGTGGCGCCAGCCAGTGGCATCGCCGGCGGCTGACGAGACACCAAGCTCGTCGACGAGGGTGTGCAGCCATCGACAACAGGGAAGCAACAGACACAGGAGCTGGTGCATAAGGAGGCAGCATCATAGGTACATACAGTTGACAGGGGAGCAGCAGACGGGGCAGTCGACAGGGGAGCTGTCGATGAAAGAGAAGTCAGCAGGTGGGCTGACAAGAGGGGAGCAGCCGGGCGAAGGGCCAACGTTGGCAAAGCAGCTGGCCGAAGACGAGGATATCGGCGAAGATGTGGTGGAGGTTCTGATCGAGAAGCCAAAGCTGCGACGCTCAGGTCGAACTCGGAAGCCACCTCAGCGGCTGATCTTCCACACCTGCCTGCCACCAACTGCCTTCACTATGCTACTCGACGACGTGGAGGCCGGCGTCGACGTGTCGGAGCTCGACCCCGACATGCATGCCGACCCCGAGCATCGCTGGGACATCGTGACGATGACGATGAAGGAGTCGTTGGCGAGCTGGAAGGGCGAGGCGGGAAAGACCGCCATGGAGCTGGGTCGAACGCCCGCGCAGGTTAGGGCACATGGGAGCTGGTCGAACGCCTGCGCCCGTAGTTTCTTTAGCAACGGCACATGGGAGCTGGTCGAACGCCCGCGCGGGGTAAACATCATGAAGAACGGTGGGTGCTGATGACCAAGTACCACATCGACGACACCGTCGAGCGTGAGAAGGCAAAGCTGGTCGTGAAGGGCTTCATGCAGGTGTTTGGCG